TGTGTGTGTGTGTGTGTGTGTGTGTGTGTGTGTGTGTGTGTGTGTGTGTGTGTGTGTGTATCTGTGTATGATTGTGTGTGTATCTGTGTATGATTGTGTGTGTATCTGTGTATGATTGTGTGTGTATGATTGTGTGTGTCAGGCACTTATATAAATCATCAGGACTCGTTCTTACATCACAGCCACCCTCAGGGCAGCATGCTGCGCTCTGTTACGCACACATATACACACACCACCACCTCACACTAGCTGCTTCTCCTTCTTTTATTGGTTAGCTAGTCTTTACTATTACATGAGAGGCGGATCATTGAGCTACAACTGGAGCAGCCACCTTCACTTTCAGGATTTTCTTGTACCTCTGGCCTACTTTTTATTTCCTCTCACTGTGCACGCAGACCCGCCTGTTGGATTTCTCATATGTTGCATGAAAACTCTTCGTCCCATTCGAAAATTGCATGTAGTCCAGTACTGGGACCGCCCACCATATTGACCCTTGTATGGAAATGTCAAAGTCATAACAGCTGGCTCACATTAGAGGCATACACTGACAGGCAAACGTTAGTAATGTGTGCATGCACTCTGAAGATGAAGCGATTATCTATTCGTCTGTCTTTCTTGTTTCTTCTCTGAGCTTTGACTTGAGGATTTACTGCTTCAAAGTGTTTGTAAAGTGTTAGCCAATAACTTGACTTGTGACTCAGAAAATGCAAGTTAAGCTAAATTAGCTATTACTCAGACAAAAGGTGAACCCAGAGGGGGGTAAATGCGCACATTGCTCCCCGGCGGTTCAGTGGGATTAATGGACTGTGCTTAGAACTGTTAAATGATAACACAACAGTAACACATTAAAGTTGTAGGCATGGATCTCAGTCTGTCCATTATATGGAAAAATGCATAAAAAACAAAATAGAAATGTAATTTATGCATTTTTCTTTTGTAGATATATGGCTTTGACAGTACTCATGATGGAAGTTATTATAGAAACCTATAAATCAGGGCTTACATCTCAACTGCTACACAACTTGGTAAATAATTCTAAGAAACATGTTTTTTTGTAACCACCAATCTGAGGCTTTATACAATTCAGTCTGTCCTTCTTTCATCCCTAAACATAGACGCTGTGCGAGTTGAATCACAGGCCAATGGATTGTGTTTGATCTAGCTTCATTAGGGAGGCAGGGAATTTGTGAAAAGGGCTCTGTGGAAATCATAAGCACCTCTCCGTCTGCTTTTGATTTTCTTGCACAATGGTCATCCAGGAATACTATTTGAGAAACACATTACATCACATTAACAGTGAGCCACTCTTTGATGCGCCCGCCAAGCAACGGCTTCATAACATGGACATAATGAAACTGCTCTACTCTCCAACTTGTGTAAGGGAGAGTGTTTTGGCTGGAAGGAAGGAAGAAAGGGGCATTTTGAAAAGGAGTGAAATGGCTCAAATGAAAGGAGAAAGCGCAAAAAAAGCCTCTGCAGAGTGTTGCGTGTGGGAAATCTGAAATAAGACGTGTCCTACTTCGTCCAGTAGCCTCTCGTGTCCACATAAAAGGCGGCTAAACAAAAGGACTCTGGCCTCTTATTATTTTTCTCCTCTCTGTCAGAACATTTCCAGTTTTGCAGGCCTGTATTTCACTCTAAATGACTCCCAGATTTTTTACAGCGTGGCAGAAGCACCTTCAGGATTTAGCTTGGTGGATATTTCCAGTCATTTGTTTATAGCATTAAGCCATTAACAGGACACACTCCTCTTTTCCTCTTCCTGTAGCCCTTTTTTTTCTTTTTCTAAATCATCACTCACTTTTGAGTTCTGTTGGCAGACATCATAACACCAAGCTATTAAAAGCCCATTGGCACTTTGATTTGAGAGTAACCCTCCCTGCACTTGGCCTGTCTCATCTCTGTGTGTTCTCGTTTGAACTTTGTTCAGTCATCAGCAGCTCTTCTACTGCGAGCATCACATGGACTCCCTGTGGAAAAGCATTAGAGCCAAACGCTGGCTGTTTGCCTGTGAAAAATGGCTGTGGGTGCAAAGTTTGTACACCATAAACTTTAACAGTTGTCCTATTAGTGGTCATGTTGTTTATAAAAAAATGTATGACCTGGAAAAAGTGACTGTCTAATGAATCCTTTGAGGCTTTTAACCCTGTATATCTGTAGGAAATCATATCATAAGCCTGACTGAGCTACTTGTTGACAACACACTCATCCTCCCATCACACACCACACACTGACTCTGTGTCTGTCAGGTAATATGAGATTTCCTGTTCTGTGCAAGCTTTCCAGAACAAAGAAGGTGTTGACACTCAACATACTGTAGTAACAATCCAAGTTTTCAGTTAACATTGAAAATAGTACATTGTGTTTTGGTACGGTTTCAATGTTGATAAAGGGCTTGTGCATTTTTATTCAGCAGATGCCCCAAACATGTATTGGTATGACCAAAGCATACTTTAATTACTCATTACTAATTAGTTATTTTTGAGAAATGTTCACTCCTATAAAGCAGTGGTTCCCAACCTGGGTGCGCCAAAGATCGCAGGGGGGGCGCCAGGCCTCAGATGATTTGAGGCCAAATATCATATTTAGACTTTTTTTTCTTTTTCTTTTTTATTTACATATAATTGTAAAGCAATACATGATTGTCACTAAAAGCCTTGTCTCTCAATACAATATAACAAATAATTAATTAATTAAAAATTCAAGTTAGTAGCTANCAAAATACAATATACATAAAGAGATGGCATATTTTGGACATAGTTCGAATGGTGATTAATCATGATTAATACATTTTTAAGCTGTGATTAATCTGATTAAAAAAATTTAATCGTTTCACAGCCCTAATAAAAACCTGTCTGAAAATGAGCTTATCAGATTTTGGCCTCTTTATGATGTCATAACGATTTTTTGGCTTGTGTAACCATTAGCCAATCACCAACCAAGGTAACCCCCCCCCCATTATAACCTGAATCTCCTCCTAGAGCACCATTGAGTTCTTTGTAACCAAATGTCTCTCAGAGGGGCGTGGGGAGGGGCTCCTTATTTTCATCTAAAGTAACAGACAGAGAATCAGCACTTTGGAAACAGGGCTGAAACAGAGGGGATTATGGGTAATGCTGCAATGATCTGTTTGTTGTTTCAACCAATCAGAGACAGGCTCTGGATATATCTGAGACCTGTGATATATTGATGAAAAATAGTATCATAGGGGACCTTTAATATATAACAATTATTTACAAAACACGTCTCTATAAACTCACCATACCCCAAAAAGGAGCAAGGAGAAGAAAATAATTTTATATTACCTTTCTCTTTCTCAAAATAAATAATTAAATATGTTCTTATTCACAGCCAATCATAACAGTATCGTCAGAAAATTGCAATAAGGAACCCGGAAAGCAGTTATTTTGACCTGGTTCTAATGTCAGCGTGTTGTTAGGCAGATTAACGTGAAATGACCAAATCCTGCTCCCCAGAGGATGAACCCTTAATTGAACAAAATGGCTTTCGTCACCAACTTAGCTCTTAGAAGACAAATTACATTACATCTTACACACATTCAGTGCTGTGGACAATCCCCACAGGAGCAATTTGGGGTGAAGTGTCTCAGGGACACAACGACATGCTGACTGCAGTGGGACTCGAACTTGCTACCCCCTGATTCGAAGTGCAGCACACTATCCACTGAGCCACAGCCTCCAAATCATGTATGTTTGTTCTGTCAATCACTGAAAAGGAGAATAATGTGTCCTCTTTAATAGAAACAAACGAGACCAGTGTGCACTCCTGGGAAGAAAGAGAGAAAGGTGATTTCCCAAAAATCTACACATACTGCTCAAAGTTATTTAACGTTGCCTTTTAAAAATGGGAGAAACAAACAGTACGTAACATTTTATGATACCTGGAAGTAGAAATAAGATGATATTCAGCTTCTCTACGTTGGTTACCATCCAATTGCTAAAGTCTTTAGGTTTATTTCCCGGACAGAATATAACAAATCAAAACATAAAGACTTTACTGGCACATTTACTTCCACCACCTCCCACAGCGCTGGAAGCTCCGTCTTAACCACTCATTCAGGCAATTATTGAGTCCTTAATCAATACATTTCAGAAAACCCCCTGAAGCATGTGTAATTTCCCTCATCCTTGAGAAGCAATCTGTCTAATTACGTCTTGTTTCATGTTACTAATTTCTAGTAAAATGCCAGAAACAGGACTTCAGAAACCCGTTCAGATTGAAGTTTAACGTAATTTAAAATCCAGTCCATTAAACTGTACTGGTTCTATATTATCATTTAAAGTGCTTGAGATGCTGAGCGATCAAACACAGCGAGTATAGGTTGTGTTTCTTCAGATGTTGTGTATTTTGTTTCGGCAGCAAACTCTTTAAAAAGACGTGTTGGGAAATCGCCTCTCTGAGAGAATCTTGTATTCGGCCCCCGTTTGAAAAGAGACACTCTGACAAAACACGTCCTGTGATCATTTCAAAAAGAGTAAAATCAGCCCACCCCCCGAAAAGCAATTGCTCATAAATCTCAACACAAATTATTCCGGCTCTGGAACAAAGCGATGAATTATTCAAAAACGACTTCTGAGAGGAAGAGCACGGCGCTGAAAACCCCAAAGTAAATACGTAATCAAAAGCCTTCAGAAAGCTCGGCTGTCGAAAAATATGCTTAGACACAGGAATTCTTCCCTTCCACAGACATAATTATACAAATTGCTCCGCGTCTCGTTAACAAGAGAGGGGGGTAATTCGTATTAGCCATTCATAGCCTATTAATCTAATAAACTAGTTGGCTCTGTGTGTGTGAGTGTGTGTGTGTGTGGATATGGCTCTGTGCAATGAATTTCTATTAGATTTGTGTTTATTCCCCTCGTGCTGATAAGGGAGATGGGGGTAATGACTGAACAGGGTTTTTCTGCCACCGCAGACGCATTCAAAAACACATTCAGCACGCAGAGTAGGGGCTATCAATCAGCCTAATCCAATCAAATCCGGTATTTGATGACCCACGAAGAACCTTGTATATTATTTATATCTGTAATTCATCCAATTTATATAATTTTGAAACACTTTACAGCTGAATTGCGGCTATTTGTATGACCCATGGCAGAGGAGGGGGGTGACTTCTGGTGCCTGCTGGCCAAATTGGCTTCAAACAGGAAATAACTCCTTGTTGGTAACCGGACAAATACCCAGTGCTGGAAACTGTTGATCGAGAAATTCCTGAAGCTGAGTCTTGCTATGGATCGAAGGGTTCGACTTGAATCACACTATTGACACTATATAGATACCAACTTGCAATAGCAATGTATTTGTGCTCCATTTCTAAACTAACTTCTGATGTTCCCAAACTAGTTTTGTATGACTTGGAGCAGTGGGACGGAAGCTAGCTGTTTATTGCTAAGAGATTAAAATGATCAATTTGCACGTGTTTCTTTCTTTAATATAACATTGCTATCCATACCTGGCGTTTAGAGGGAGACATAACGCTATGAGGTTTCATTTTACAGCAATTATTTGTTCCTTCAAAGCTGATATTTTGGAGGTATGATACATGCCTTTGATGAAAGCCTTGCCAACAGTATCATCCATCAGACCTTCATATACAGTCAAAAGCATATCAAACGTTTGAATAACCCCAAACATTTTATAGAAATTAAAGTAATGTACTGTTTTTGCATTCAAGTGAATTTGACATCAGAAAATGGACTTAGTCTCCCAGGACAGACTGTCCATTTTTGCCATTTTACAAAGTAGATAAGAAACATAGCAAAAGTGAGTAAAAGAGACTAGAAGTTAGACTTGCTGCAGGATTAAATCCTCCGCCCTTTGGGGTTTATGGTATTTCCTTCAGCAGCCAAGCCTTATCCTTGCTCAACAATTTCAACCATGTTTGAATGTATTTGTCTTTATTTCTGTCTCTACAGGTTCCTGGAAACGTCTTGGAACCAGGTCTCGTTGACCTCCATCAGATCAGCCCACTCCCACCAGTGGCCCCGCCTCCAGATGACTCCTGGGAATGGGATGAAACTGATATGACAATCACAGAGCCTCAAGAAGAAGATCCTGACCTCATGCACAACCTCCCCTTCGAACCAAATCTGCCTTTGGACGGCCATCTATCCAATGGGAATCAACCCAATGGGAATCGTACCGGTGTCACAGCCTATCAGAGTCATGAGATGATGACCCATGTGACTCTTCCTCCTAACAACAATAAGGTATATCAGGTGTACAGCCTCCATAGTGTCGAGTTATACAGACAGCCTCCGTTTCCTTCTACGTCCTCCGTGTTGCACAAAACCAAATCAGGAAAACGGAAACAGCACATTCTGCTGAAGAGCCTGAGTAAGGACTCTTCCTTTTCCTCCATCGAATCCCTGCCGGACATCCTGGGTGGTTTGATGCCACCAAGCCAAGGAGGAAACGTTGGATACCGGGACGGGGAGAGTGGTAGAGGAAGCGGTCAATCGGCGAGCAGTCGACGGTCAGAAAGCGAAAGTGGGATCGTAAGTGATACCGGAGACACGGAGACGACGACGACAACCTCCGAAATCCAGGAAGAGGATCAGGGAGAAGGAGATGAGGACGAAGAAGGAAGGAAGTATGAATCTGTAGAAGGAAGTCATCTGGGTCTGCACAAAGACGGGGGCACCAGGTACAACCAAAGAACCAAGAGAGAGGAAAGTACGAAGGAGAAAGTATGGAGAAGAGAGGATATCAAAAGAAACAGAGAGGACGAAAAGAGGAGGAAGCACCGGAGAGGTGAGGCGGTCGAGATCTTAATCAACGGGCGAGGAATCCTGACTCCTGCAGACTCTGATTCGGACTTTGAGGTAGGAGGCCCTGACTTTACGTCCCACAGTGACTTCACGGGGTTCAAAGTTGATCTTAAAGCTACAGGAACTCCTCCTGCTCTCCGCCGCCAAACATCCAGTCCAGTATTATCTCAGAGCTCCTCGTTGGAGTCCCTTCTGGCTCTGGGCGGGGACTTATTCCCCTCCAAAGACCAGCTGCATCGTAGCGCCTCTTTGGAGAGTTGCCTGGTACCGTGTCGTAGCGGTGAAGATACCGGCGGAAGCATGGCCAGCCTCGGGGAGCTGGATCTGGGGCACAACAAAGAGCTGGATGGAGGTGAACCGGGAAAGGAGAAGATGAACAAAAGTGCTCGAGGAGAACCGTCCTCTGGAGAGCTGAGCCGAAGAACTCTGGATCTCCTGAAACGCCTGGAGAACATCCAGAGTCCTCTCGTGGCGAACATGACCCGCAGTGTTTCTGACATGACGCTTCGGAGCAGCTCCAATCAGAGAAGCAGAGTCCCGGCCTCGCCCTCCCTCGGTGGGCGCCACTCCCCCCTTTCTGGGATTTTAAGATCTTCAAGGAAAGGACCGCCATCCCTGATCAACGAGAGCTCTGCCACAGCATCTCTGACGGAGCTGAGCAGCAACGAAGACTCTTCTTTAGGCTCTGAGGATTGCGCCATGCTCGGAAATCAACGCCATCTCTTCCTGGATCCCACAATGCCCGCCAACGCCAACTCAGGACACTGCTGTTACAGGAAACAATGCCAGGGCCACGGCCGAGGAGGGCAAGGGATGGATGAAGCAGATGCGGCGAGTTTGAGTCTCGTCGTGAACGTCTCCTGTAAGTCAGCGTGCACAGACGAAGACGAGGACGACAGCGACCTTCTGTCTTCCTCCACGCTCACACTCACTGAGGAGGAGCTGGGCGTTCGTGACGAAGAGGAAGAAGAAGAAGAAGAAGAAGAGGAGAGGTTGAGCGGTGCCTCGTCTGGTAACGATGATGACGAAGAGGAGATGGAGGGGTCGTATGTTCTGGGGCTGGAGTACATGAAGAGGGAGCTGCAGAGTTGGTTCCGATTTCCCCGAACTTCCTCATCTTCCTCCTCCTCTAAAACCGAGGCGGGCCTCAGGGATGAGCTGCAGTGTGGGACCAACCTCACCTCCGCGCAAAACAAGGAGCAGCACTGCTTCCAGAACCGCTCGAAATGTGTAGAAAACAACAGCAACAACAAAACGAAAAGAGACAACAAGGACGAGGAAGAAGAGGAGAAGAACCGTAGGAACGCAACAAGAAGCTACATCAGCCAGTTTGTTGACGACGTGGAGAACGGGAACGTGGACCAGAGCTGTTTGAAAGGGAAAGACGAGGACGACGAGCTCCTTAGAGAGGAGGCCAGTGTGTTCACGAAGAAAGGCGAGTCACTGAGGGAGTCTTACATGTTCGCCAAAACAGAGGAGGCGGATCAGGATGTTGGCGACTGGGTGAAAACAGAAGCTACGAAGCAGCTTTCTCCGTCACCGTCCTGCGATCTCAGTCCCTTCCTGTCCAAAACGTCTTCGTCTTTAGTCGGACAACTGAGAGGGGAGTTGCCCTGTCAAAGCTCCTCCATCCCGACGCCTCCTTCCCTTTCTCCTGTTGAAAACTGCATATCCCAGGATGCCTTGCACAACAGCAGGCCAGAAACCAAGGGGCGGAAAGCCATCACCAGTCAGGAGAAGTTCAAGTTCTCGTCTTTTGTGACGGAGGAAACGAAGAGGGAAGTTCGAGATAAAGAGTCTTCTCGGCCTCCTAAGAAACGGCACGATTCTCACTCGTCCTGCTGCGACCGCCTGCCCTCTTCCCTCCATCCACGCAGTGAAGAGGAGGGAAAGAAAGACAGCGTGCATGACTTCGTGAGGGAGATTATTGACATGACTTCACTGGCGTTGAAGAGCAAAGAGAACCGGTCGGAAGAACCGAACGAAAACCGGTCCGTCCCAGACCAAAGTCCTGCGTCTGCAAAGATCAAAAACAAGGTACAGAATGAATACTACAATCGGTCTGTTGTGATTTCATTACAAGTCAAACGTGCACATTGTTATAATGCAAATGAAACAGGAATCAAATGAAACAGCTCAGTATGGCTGCAGACGTTGATAATACATTAATCAAATATTGGATATTTTGCAGCACTTGAAGTCCTGCTTGACCTCATTTATTCAGAACACTTTGAGGACAAATGGATCAAAAAGTTATTTCAGTTAATTTGTTCGCTGAGTTGGAGTAATTCAATAAATCGCATCACAGATCATAACTTTTAGGATGCAATGACTAATTTCTTGAGTATCCTTTGCGAGTGAAGTAATCTAAAAGCTAATCAGTTTCCAGTCTTCATTTAATGTCTGAAAGGAAAAAGAAATCAGGCAGAAAACTTTTCCCCTTCTTTTGTAAAAGTGTGAAATATAAATAGACGTTTTAATATGCAAATTAACACTTGGATGGATTTGGTAATTGTGTTCAATTACACAAATATAGAAATGTACATAATCCAAAAGTTGGAAATCAAGACAGTTTGACTGCATTTGTAACTTTAATCAAACTAAATTAAATCAAACTAACTATTCAAAATAGTTTTACTTAAGTTAAGTGATCAAAACTCTTGATTTGAGTTATACCACTGACTTTAATTATTTTAATTTTTAGAGAAAACTCAAGTCAATTCAATATTTTTAACAACACTCAACACTCATATTCTTTGACCTGTCACCCATTAACCTCCCTCTATCCATAGTCCTCCATAGTCCTTCCAATCAGACAAGTCAAATTTGAATCAGCAAACTTTGATTTGCTCCGTAGGAGAGACATTTACAATGTTTACAGTAAAGGGATAAAGAATAAACCTCAAAAGTAAAATAAATTGACTTTCTATTATTCTTTCTCCTTTCAGTGCATGTCAATGGTCTCCAAAGGCTACAATCCTAAAGTACCGGAACATAGTGACCACTCTCCTGCTTCTATTGGCTAGCGCTCCGACACATTGTACTCGATAGGCTAAGGGGCGGGACAATCTCTAAGCTGTTGACCAATCACAACCAACCCATCAGAGCAGACTGGGCTCTGGTTTCAGACGGAGGGTGAACATAGAAATATGATCCTGAAAAAGAGCATGATAGGGCCCCTTTAAATAAAAAGCTAAATAACACTTGAACTTTTGAAAGAACATCCATAACTTTCATCTGTTTGCAACGTATATGAATATTCCAATTACTGTAGACTATTCTGCACTATTTCTATTTTATTTTATTTTATTTACTTGCACTAATATCAGTTTTATGATGTCACTGTTTGAGGAGCCTCAGATTTCCATTGTGATATCTGTAGCTGTGTACACATGACAATAAACGCCTTGAATCTTGAAGACGCGTTCTTTACAAAACGTTCTCTCTTCCTGCTCTTTCAGATCCTCGAGCACTCCCACCGGCCTCTCCACCTTCGTAAGGGAGACTTCTACTCCTACCTGTCTCTCTCCTCTCACGACAGCGACTGTGGCGAGGTCAGCGAATGCTCCGAGGACAGGAACCCCTCTCCGACTCCGTACGACATCCCGTCGTACGTGACGCCGACACAAGGCCTCCACAGCCCCGACCTGTTCACCAGCACCAGGCAGCAGCTGTCCAACTCAGCCCCGTCTTCCAGGCAAACGTCGCCCGGCTTTGAATCGAGGAAAAACTTCTGTGCTCTGGATTTGAAGTCTGGAAGCCCTTCCATATCTCTGCCTGCTAGCCCGGAGTTTAGGGACGAGGAGACGCTGTTCTCCGCCTGTACGGAGGAGGTGTACCTGGGCCCGCCTCTCTGCTACAGCATGGAGCTCACAAAGAAACCACCGCGCTTCCTACTGAAGGAGAACCTGGACTTTCTGCCCTCTTTGGACTACGATTTGAACAGTGTAGCTAGCTTGCCTCGTCCACAACAACTCCACGACAAACCAGGTGATAGTCAGGTGTCTCCCTCAGAAGATAGAGACCACCTGTACTTCCAACAGTCCACAGAGGAATCTCTCAGCTCCATCCTGGGTCCTTTTCATGTCTCCTTCTCCAGCTACTCCTCTCTCCAGGGGCCCGGCTCCAAACCAAAAGCCGACAACCCTTCCTCCCTTCCTCCCGCTGGGGACAGGAAGCGAGGTGAGGACCCGAACCTCCTCTGCGATGTCGCTGGGGGAGAAGAAGTCGTGGCCAATACGAGTGTCATCTTGCCGCGAGAGGAAAGGAGTCGTAATGAGGGCTCTCCTTATCTTAATCCCCGGGTGCGTGTCGGCCCGATAGACTCCTCCGCAGACCAATGTTTGGCAGATACTGAAACGCTCAAATCCAATATGGGCGCCGTAATGACCAAGATAAGTGTCTGCGGCTCCGCTACAAATCCCTCAAAAGAGCCAGCCACCGCCACCACCACGCGGATTAATCCCAAAATTAACCGCTCGCTGATGAGAGAGGCAGATAGGGAGGAGGGGGAGAGGCGAGGAGAGGTGGATACTCGACGGGTGAGGAGAGGGGGGAACGGCTCGCAGCAGGAAGGGAGAACAGTGACGGAGAAGCAGGTGAGTGTTTCCACGCCTGAGCTGCTATCTGGGGACATTATACAGGCCTTGATACTGCACTTCACCTCTTTACTCCAGGTGTTAGTCCGAGCCGAGCCCCACAGAGGGGATGCGTGTAATGAGGCCGCTGTACCTTTCTCTTATTTCCCATTTCAAGGCCAGACAGATATGAGTAACCTCGTCTTTCTCTTCCTCCTTTCCTTTCCTTCACGCTCATCCTTTTACTTCATCTCATGTCTTAGTTTATATCCATGCTTGGGAAGTAACAGGATTACATCATCTAGGACAGTGGTTCCCAACCTGGAGGGCGCGCCCAGCCTTGTCTCTACATTACAATAAAATATACAAAATAATTGATTCATTAATTTGAATAATAATTGAAGTTAGTATTAAAGGCATAAAAAGACAGAAATGTATAATTCTTTCTTTAATAGAAATGTTTCTTCTGCCCGTAAAGTGTCCAAACCAGGCTTTTCTGGATAAGCGCATTTTTAAAACATAGTCATTGTTCATGCCGGTTTCAGTTGGATTATTTGTCACAGTTGCTCCGATCAGATCGGTCTCCTCCATTTTGTAGATTATTTACGACTTTTGAATCCACATGAACACATCGGCAAAATCCGGCTTACTTTGAGCATGTGTTTTAAACAGTTTAACCCCTTTGTTGAATTGTTTCCACTTCCGCGCCGTCCTTTAATTTTCTTCATACAGCGGGAATCCAAATGAATTAATCCTGAGTCCAATAAACATCAAAGTCACTCCAATAGTGCTCCTTAATTACGCTTTCATCCTCCTTTAACAAAATACTTTCATCTGGGTTTTTGTTGACAGTAGGTTAGTAGTAGCATTTTTGAGAGTTTTAAACTTTTAATTAACCGCTGTGTGTGGGCGGGGGGGCGCAACTTCCAACAGGAGTCATTTGGGAGGGCTCTTGGGAAAAAAGGTTGGGAACCACTGGTGTAGATTAATGTGTCGTTTTAGGATGTATGCTGTTTGCATTACACAGGGTGGTGTTTCTGTTGTTTATCCCACCCTCATTTACATACATGGAGTGGACAAAATAATAGATATACCTGTCAGTATAGATGTGTCTGCTGTCTGATGCATGAGAGGAGTTCTGTTTTTGTTTTTTAGCAGGGGTGGAAGTTTGACTGTTAAAAAAAACGATTCTTTATCTGAAGAATTGTACTTTCTTGCACTATATTGCAATATGTCCCTCTGAGATGTAGTGGTACTTGGCTTAAAGTTATTTCAAATGCTAAAACACAAGCAGGCTTACAATTACTATAATCTTGCACTTTGCAACGTCATTAGTGTACATAGTTACAAAATACAACTTGTTGAGCTGGGAAAACATAATTTAATATGCAAATGCTTGCTTTTCTGTACACAATTATACATGGCCTTACTGTCTCACCTGTTGCATGTTTTTACTGATTGTATTTATTTGTTATTTTAAAAGAAATGTGTTTTTAGGGTGATTTACTGTACAACATGTGTCCAGGGACTACAGATGAAAAATAGCCTCTGGCACATTTACATACATGTTTATCCATGCACACTGTGCTTATTAAAATAAATAAACAAACATGTTCCTCTTGTCTGCTGCAGAGAAGCTGCTGTGTGTGTGCAGCCTCATGAGGGCAGAGGAGAGTCTCTGCTCACACCGGAAATGATAAATATCAGGAGTGTCAGCAGGTGCTCGCCTTTAATCTAACCATGGTGTCACCCAGGCTAGCACTCACTGCACTGAACAAAACACAAAGTAATGCAACAAAAAGCAGGATTGTGTCACTATGGGTTAAAGTACAAGCATGATATACCTCTGCATAGTTCAATACAAGTTGGATCTCCCTTTATTAGTCACCGTTCTAATACACAGGACGCTAAGTGACACAAATCAAACACCCATGAACAGGTGAATGCTAAGTGTGGCTAACATGCTAATGGTGGATCCTCCAGGTGACTTCTACCTTCAGTAAGGTGTCTGAGGACTCCCTGCAGTATCTGTCGGTTAATCCTTGCAGCAAATACTTTCTGATTGACACAGTTAGGCCGCGATATGAGCCGGTTCAGTGTGAACAAGTGAAGCCGGGGCAGCTCCTCTTCACGCAGTGTTGCTGGATCTCTGTGGATATAAGTGGATATACTGGGAAAAGAATGGACCTTTGCATTGGGAAGAAACCAGCAGAGAAGTTTTCCCTGCAGCAGACTGTGGAGGACTGCAAGGTGCACGAGACTCACAGGATGACGTTCAGACAGGTGAGTACAACAACGCACACTAACGAAGCTGTCTGTGTGTGTGTTTGTGTGTGCGAGCGTATGCAAAGTGTGTGTGTGTGCAAATCGCTCTTTGAATTAATTATGTTTTTGGCTGTGGATATTGTTTCGACATCTCTGCATTGTTGCCTTTGTTATGATCCATGCTGCTGTTGATTCTATAAAAAAGCTTGAATTTTTTTCATTTACGTAGCTCAATGTTGTTGTTGTTATTGTTCATAACTGCTTTTTTTTATTCTGGGTCATTTTGAGTTATTTCCCTTTACTGGTTTATTCTTATTAGACTTCATGTAGTAGCCTGTATAAGTGTTGGCACAGGTTATAAAGTGTGTATGGGAATGTTACGTGTTGCTGGTTTGGCCTTCGGTGGTGCCACTTTCTGGTGAAGGCCTTCCTGAATAATAACATTATTTCCCGATGTTATTTGTAATTTAACAGTATTAGTAGCCAGCCCTATCTCAATATATACCATGTTTTCTTTCTATGTAACCCAACAAATTGATAGGATTTACTTTATTGATCCCAAATAAACACACATTAGAATAGAATTTCTAAAATAGAATAGAAAATAAACAATAAATATCAACAATGAATAATATATATAGAATACTTCAACATTATGATTGACCAGCCTACAAAATGTAAACTTAGGATACTATTAACATTATAGCAAAGTAACTACAGTTTTTTTTAATTAAAGCTATTTGCAAAAGGTACAGCGTGAGATCAATACAACTAACTTTAAGGTACATTTTTACACAGCACTCATAATATTCTAGTACTCTTTCCATGGCTAGGTTTTAACAGCTGAGGTTAAAAACAACATGAATGAAAGAGTGAAGTATTGGTGCAGAAAACCAAAACAATAACCTGAAAGCGGTTAAAAAACCCTTTAGCGCTCAGGGGAAACTTCTCTGTGCTCTACCAGCAACACTGTTCACACACAGGTAGTCATGTGATCCATTGTTGATCCAGTGAAATATTGATTGCAGCCGCTTTAAATGAAATTACTTTACACTGGTGACGTGAATGTGAAACATAACTCAAAGCTTACCTGCTTCTTCCAGTGTGTGCGTGTGTGTGTTCGTGTGTGTGTGTGTGTGTGTGTGTGTGGTGAGTAGTGCTGTTGCTGGCGTCTGTGGCGCTCTGTTTAAATCATCACTTCCTGTTCTCAATCCCCACGTCTGCTTATCCATCATTTCATAAGCGTGTGTGTGTGTGTGTGTGTGTGTGTGTGTGTGTGTGTGTGTGTGTGTGTGTGTGTGTGTGTGTGTGTGTGTTGATACATCTCGGGGTCCTGTTGCACCAACGCCAGCCTCCCATGGGTGGAGGCGGTGGGCTGCTCCCTCAAGACACCCCCTCAAATTATAGCCTAATCAGTTAGCCCCAGGAGCAGGCACAGACAAACAGACAGACCTCCAGACCTCCAGCAACCTCATCTCAACACACACACACGCGCACGCACGCACGCACACACACACACGTCGAGCCTGGCCTTGTCCCTGCAAAGACCTCTCTCCCTCTGTCTCTCCTGACTCTGAGATAAAACAGGTCCGACTTCGGTTTGAGAAAAGTGTCGGCTGCTCCTGTCACTCACTTATCCACTCCTCTTGTCTAGTCTACCTGGCCCTTTCACCTCTCACACACACACACGCACACGCACACGCACACACACACACACACACATGCACACGTTTCCCTATCTTTGACACATGTATACACAGCCAAATGTAGATGTATGTTTAAGATGTCGTTTCAACGTGTTTCAGAAATTAAAAAAATCCTTTATTCGGTCCTCAGAAGGGAAATTTCCATGCATGCACTGTCACACACACACACACACACACACACACACACACACACACACACACACACACACACACACACACACACACACACACACACACACACACACACACACACACACTGGTCAGGTCTGTAGACTTCACGTTCATCTAACCTAAAAGCGCTTAAACATTTAATTTGCAACAAAAATCAACTAGAAAATGGCAAAACAGTTGCTTTTAATTTGTACTCTTGGTGCATGAATCATTGTTCGAACACCGTTCCAAGAAAGTGTTGCAGTCACACCCAATAACCCCTTGGTTATATGAATAATTACATTGATATTTTCTTAGTTATCCCTCCAGAAATGATCTATTTATTCACACTTTCACAAGCAGAATGTGTGAAATCCCATTAACCAGATGTAACATAGTGTATAACTGTTGTTTCTGAAAGTGAGGACTTGCAGTTCTCATGTGAAACATTAAGAAAATGTTCATTTTTTAAATATTTACTGCTGCTGAGTACCAGTTCCGAGAAACGTGTTGCAGTCACACTCAATAACCTCTTGGTAATAAATGAAAAATAGCGCCGTGAGAAATAAAACAATGTAATGGTATCACTTTGGCACCTCACGTTATGTCAACATGTATCTGGCTTTTTCTGGATCATTAATCTACACAGACACACACCAGACACACACACACACACACACACACACACACACACACACACACACACACACACACACACACACACACTGTACACAGGTGCAATTAAAGCAATCATGAATGCGGCTCATGATGTGCTCTGTGACCCAGACAGCAGAAGGTCTGCAGCAAACACACACACACACACACACACACACACACACACACACACACACACACACACACACACACACACACACACACACACACACACACACACACAGTGTTCAGGTTTCATCACTAAATCATGTTTTATAGTAAAATATTCAGAACAGTAGACGGCGTATCTATTCATGTATGTCTGATTGGATGCGGATAAAACTTAAAATAAACTCAATACATTATAACATTATAAGAATAAAACTATGCAAATGTTATAATTTTTGAGTGCAGACCTATTCCTATTTGCATAAGCAGGATATAACAATGATCAGAACAGTAAATATGTATTGAGCAGGAGAATAAAACAGGTACAAACATCATTCATATTCAAAGCTTCTTTTTTGAAGTTTCAGTGATTACCTAAACCAGCTGGTCACTGCAGTCCGTATCAAACAAACAGGAGGAAGTAGTGCATTTCTTGAGGGACTATTTTCTAAGGCGGATTAATTCACAGTTGTTTTGTATTATGAGGCAGCGGGACAGTGTGTGTGGGATTTACTCTAAATAAACTGCAGTGTGTGTTCAAGGTAATGAAAGGACATGTAATGATGTGTTTGTTGACCATCAATTGAGCGATGTGACACAGAGGAAGATATACAGTGTCAGGCTGTAACACACACTCCATTTTATTTTGTTGGTACAAACATTAGTTGTTGGTTTTGTTTTGTATTTGTTGGTATACTTGTACTTTTACTTGGAAAACCCTTGTCTTTTTCTCTGCAAACAGAATCTACCTACGGGTACAAATAAATAACCTGAACCTGAACCTGAAAAGAAAAAAAAAATCAAATATAACCATTTTATTTATTCATTTTTTATTTTTTTTTAAATGAACAAAATAAATACAATTTTTATCTCAAAATATCAAATTAAAAAACATTTTACGAACATTTTAAAATATAATAAAATATTATAATTTATATAAAACCTATGATCTAAAGTAGGGATATCACAAAAAAATATAATAAACAAATAAAAAACAATCTCCAACATATTGTGTCCTTAAAGCTGTCTCATATGTATATCGCTATGTTAAAGCTATGGTATGTTTCTTTGTCTTTTTTTTTTTTTTTAATCGAATGAAGACGCAGACAGTCTGGTGGGAACATGTCCTGTTACAAAACACCTGTATCGCTGTACTTCTGATTAATAAAGCCTGTTCTCTCTCTCTTTCCGTCCATCCAGAGACTTCCAGTGATGGGATCAGGGACCTCCAGGATCCAGATGTAAGAAGGGGCCTTCCTCCTTCTCCTCCCCGATGAAGTGATCTCTTTCCCGGCCTCGTTTCTCCACCCCCTCCCCCCCCCTCTCTGATCCTGGAGCCTCGCCCTCTGAACTCCCAAAATCTCACTGCTGTAACTGAACGGATCTTTAAGAAACTGGAAGGGAAACTCTATCCTGCAGTTTCAGGGTTATATCTCACAACACAGTGACACTGGGTCTGATTTATGGGTTTGGCTGTGTATATGTTTTAGTCTGTGCGCAATATAAGAGCTCAGAGGAAAACAATGTGGTACAAATACAACCAAGAAGCATTTAAATGTGATTTCAAATGGATTGTTTGCATTGCATATTGAGTGGACGATTCAACAGTCTCCGGATGGATTGAAGGCAGAGAAGTTGTGAAAATCACTCTGAGGACTTGATTAGTTTTTAGCAGCTGTATATTTCACATATGAGTCACATGTTTTTATTACATACAATTAGGCTGAACAGGGGAAACAAATGTGTTTAATTTCTACTCTTCTTCACACTTGTTCCTCTGCTCATGTCTTCTGGATGTACTTCAGTATTGTTCTGCCACTTGAATCCATCTTCAGTCAGTGTGCATGGCTTCCTGCAGTTGTGTACACCTTGTTATCTTTCACACAGCGCACAAGTAGCATGCAACTTCCCAACACATAACACCTGGTGAGATGATGTCAGTGTTCATCATCTGTGGCTGTGAGAAACTACTTCTGCCATCCTGTGACTTATAAATGTCGTATGACTCGGTACATAAAGTGTAAGCGGCGTCACACAACGGCCACGTCTTGCTTCTAAAAGTAATGGGGGAAAATGCAAATGTGTTTTTGTGAGTTACTTAAAAACAACGAATATTAATACTTGGCAAAAAGCCTCATATTTGTTGGAGATATAAAGAGGCCAAAAAGTTGTATTCAACTGTAGTTATAGAAGCTTATTATCATTTCTGTAAAAGCAATACTGAAGAAAATCATTGCCAGACTGCTAGACTTTGATTTAATCGTGCACATGTAGTGAAACCCCAAACAATGCCAAACCTAAAGACAGATCAGTTGTGTATCTACACACCTAATCAATATA